CCTGGTGGTGGAGGTGGTGGTGGTGGTGGTGGTGTGTGTGTGCATGCCCAGAGCAGTCTTGGTGCCTAACAGGCACTCAGTAAATATCTTCAAATGTACGTACTGGCCAGAGGGTTCCTCAGCCTTCCATTTGCTGAACCTGTTTCTCTGAGTACTGCATCCTGCTGGGGGCCCAGGCGGGGCCTGTTGCCAGTTTCAGCAAGGTAAGAGGGACAGGAAGGACAGCGCAGCCTCTGCACACCTTTCTATTCCAAGTATGGCTCTTCCTCTCCTCTAAGTCTTCCCTCTTCCACCCTCCTTCACCCTCCAACCACGAGAAGAGACAGTTAGTGGACTGGAGGCTGCAGGAAAAAGCAACAACTGCTGATGAAGCCAGGTGGTGGGGGAAGTAGTCTTCCAAGCAACTGGGGCCCTGGGAGATGCAGTCCTGTGGGGTTTGTGCAGGGGCAGGAGGACTGGGTTAGTGGGCAGTGGCTCTGCATCTGGCCCCCTGAATGGGCGCAGGAAGCAGTGGAACCCCAAGTGAGAGGCCGATGACAGCAGAGGCTCTGTGTGGAAGCTCCATCACAGGCCCACTGATCTTAGGTGCTTTGATGCAAATCTCAAGATAAGGATTTGGGTGCAAATGTTTGAGAGGTGATCCCAGGAAAGCCCCAATAGGGCAGTGGGTAGGTGAGCCAGAGAAGGGAAGGTAGCTAACAGGGTTTGTTATCAAGTCAGTTATCTCTGGAGGGGAGCTGGACCTTGATCCTGCTGGGATTATCTGGGAGCCAATAGAGGATGCATGCCTCAGAGACGGTACACCCAAGGGACAAGGGAGCTGGAGTATTCATACACCAGTCCTTCAGTCGTGGGCTGAGGGCTGCACAGCACTTCTGGCCTACTGTCAGAGTAGGGAAGTAGGCTCTCGTGGCCAGAGAGAGCCCCCAGACAGAGATACAGGTGCTGGCAACTGGCAGTTGGACAGGCGTGCACTGACATGGTGAGGGTGAGGAGATATGGGTGGGACACCAGTTGCCTCTACAGTCCCCATCTCCTTTTTCTGAAGCTCAGGGTGCCTTGCAGGGGTACTGTGCCTGTCCCATATCAACTAGCTTTTGCTGCATAATAGACCTCCTCAAAACTTAGTGGCTTAAAATAACAACCATTTATGTAGCTCACAGTTTGGTGGGTGGGCAGTTTGGGCTGGGCTTAGCTGGGTAGTTCTGGGCTCAGCTGTGTATCTCTTCTGTGCATCTGAAGCCAGCTGGTAGGTGTGCTGGGAGCTGGTCAGTCTAAGATGGCCTTCGTGGGGACAGCTTGGTCTCGTCCTCCAGCAGGCTAGCTGAGGCTTGTTCTCACAGCCTCAGCTGTGCTCCAAGAGAAAGAGTGTAGGCTTGCAAGGGCTTTGGAGGTTTAGGCTTGAAACTGGCACAGCATCACTTCCACCACATTTTGTTGGCCAAAATAAGTCACCGGGCCTGCTCAGATTCAAGGGGTGGGGAAATCAATTCTTGGGGGAAGCTGCAAAGTTATATTTGGGAGGATTGTTGCAGGAAGAGGAATATGAGCAGCCATTTTTGCA